AACTTAATTGTGTGCCTACCAGAACTAGCCCATAGAGCAATGGAGAATAAAATCCAGTTATTTTGACTTAAAAAAAAAAACCCACACACACCCACCAAATTCCTCTGGGATGAGTAATTTTAGATGTTCCACGACTTATTTTCTCTGATAGAGTTCCAAAACTTTCATGTGCACAGGGATCATGTGGAGAGACTGTTGAAATGAAGATTTCTCATCTCTTTTCCTGAACTCAGGAGGTCTGGAGTAGGATGGTACCGTTTTCATCTGTACCTCACAGGTGACATGACAGTACTTAGAGCATCACTGCCTTTAGGAAGCTTCTCAAGCCTCAGCACAGAACAAAATCACCTCCAGAGTTTGCTAAAAGAAGTCATCTTTGGGCTTCTTTGGCCCTGGAAATTCAGAATGTCTGAGATAAGGCCAAGTGTTATTCTTTGTACATGAAACAACCTTTCAGATTGCGTTGCTTCATAGATTGCACCGGAGTGAGGAACTTCTTGGACAGACGCAACCAACGAAGCCTAAGCATCCAAGAGCTTTGGTTGTTGTTGTTGTTTGAGGGGGGAGGATCATGGGGCTTGGGCACTGTCCTTGCACTCTTAAGTTCAAGGCTAACGCTCTACCACTTGAGCCACAGCACCGTGTTCAGTTTTCTGGTGGTTTATTGGAGATAAGAATCTCACGGGCTTTTTTGCCCATGCTGGCTATGAACCGCGATCCTCAGATCTCAGCCTCCTGAGCTTCAGCCACTGGTGTCCGGCAAGAATCCAGTCTTTTAGCATGTGAAACTTGGGATCAGATTATGTCATCTGTTTAATATGTAGCCTGTACATCAAAGAAACTAGACAAGCAGGGAATTCTGAATGTTATGAATCTCAATTTTACGAAATATTTGGTACGATAAAATAACTAGTGTGATGACATATACAAAAGGCATTTTCTAGAAAAAAAACAGACTGTCTGAAGGTCACAGTAGTACCCTTAACTTGCTCACTGCTTAGAGAACAATTGTTTCCCTTTCTTAGGGATATCTTCTGATACATTCTCATATTAACATATTGGTGAAAGAAAAAAAATAAAGGCAGTTTGTAGGTTTGGCTAAAATGACTTTTTCCTTGTGTAGGCCTAAAAATATTATTTCCCTTTCTACTGTGTAGCTTGGACTACAGTCCTGAGCCACATATCTATCCACAAAGGAAAATCAGAAAAAAATGTATATACACAACAGATACACACATACACACATGTATATATTATACATATATATATATATATATATGCATATATATAATTGTTTAACGTACCACAAGGAAAAGAATTCCTTTGAATTTTTCAACCAGATTTTGGATAGTTCTATAAACTCACTATTACCTTTTGAAAGGAAATATTGACTGTGTTAAGTAAATATTTTATATCAATATGAGGAAATTAATAGTTTCTACTTCATATCCCATTGCAAGTTTTGTGATTTTTCTGTTTTATTTGTATTTAACCTTATTTATAAGGTTAACAAATCCCTCAATAACTTTTATACTCAATGGGGGCAAATTGTATTTTAATTTATATACCTTCCTGCATTTGATTTAGATAGTCCGGTAAATTTTGTTAAGTGATACATGGTATGATTTATAGGGATTCTACTAACTATTGAATTCTTCTGTCTCAAAGTTTCTCAAATCAGACCTGCATATGTTGCTCAAGAATTTTTAAATTATTCAATATAATTATAATAATCAGTTTCTCACCAATCCAGATTTGAAATTATTGACTGATGAAAATGTACATATCATAAATACAATGAAATCATTCAAATAAAGGTAATTTAAATTTGCAAGCTATTTAGCAGGAAATGAACGGATAGAATATGTTACCCCATTTAACAAACATTGAGGGTTTTTATTGAGTTTTTTCAGTAAACATTGAGACTGCTTATGTACTTAAGTGAATCTCAGCCTAAAAAAAAAACTCTGTGGGCATCTTTTCAAACAGAAATATGGACAGGCCTGTATCCCTGATCAACCAACAAAAAGTCATTTATAACCAAAGAGCTTGAATGAGGCAGAATCAGAAGTGGATTGGAGATATGACTGGAAATTAAATCAAGTGTGGGAAATGGTTACCAAGGTCAAGTTCGTCCTCCCAAGGACATCATGATGACATAGACTAGATATATGGACAATTATTTGTAATTATGCATTTGTACTTGAATTTTACATAGAGTATGGGCATGAAAAGACTTTAGAGAATATGCTGACATAGTGAAACATATTGCAGGAATATTTTAAGTTGGTGTTGCAGGCTTATGTTGTGACCTTCAGTATTTAGGAGGCTGTGGTCTGGAAGATCACAGTTCTATCCATCCTGGGCAGAAAAGTTCTTTGGCTTTCATCTCAGAATTTCAGCAAAACAATGCTGGAATATCAATCAAGTGTTAGGACAGTAAGTATGAAACCCGATTTTAAAATTAGAGAGATAGTAGAAAAATATGGAATGAAAAGAGTATGACAAGGGAATGGAAAATTAGAGTAAGAGATCTTGAGATTTGGAAATGCCTAGATGTTTGCTGCGTGAATTTTCAAGAATAAGACATTCCTATACATTTCACTTTATGGAGAGACACATATTTCTAACTCAAATAAGAGTTCATCATTTTAAAAGATACAGTTCCCTAGGTGCTGCAACTGTAAAAATATGAATTTATTTTCAAGCATCACAGAATTCAGAGTATCCCTGTGAGTTTTTCCTCAAAAAATGTTATTTAACCATTATATTGTGCGGGCCTACAGATGATTTATTGATTTAGTTGTTAATGTACTCATTCTAAAAATAATTATTTTTAAAAGTGGCATATTACAGTGGTGGGGTATGGTAAGCCAGACTTTCCAATTTCTCATTTATTAATGGTAAATGGATATGTTATTAATCTCTCATAATTGATTTTTTATCTCCAATTGTCAGAAAAATAGTAATGTCACTTGATAACTATGAAGATTGTATGAGGTCATGAATATAAAGTACTTAGTACAACATCAGATATATAGTAAAATATCAACGTTATTAGTACTCTGTTGGACAATGTCTCTATGAGAATATTACATGGTTCTATAATGTTCAAAAACTGAACATCACAAGCAGGAGTCATTCCAGTTAGTCTTGATTTTGACAGACAGTCTATCAGGTCACAAACCATCAATGTGACTCTGCCATTGATCCTTTCATTGGGATGAAAAGAGAGTTAGAGCTGCTAAACCTGTTTCCCCCACACACCTTTTCCTTGCATTCTGAGACTAGCATACTTTAGTGTTGATAGAGATGAAAGTGTTAACTGTTGGTTTCTGCTTGTATTGCTATTGTTTTCATTCTCTCTTGGTTCTGCCAATGAGTGTTTGTAACTTTCAGAGCCAGCAGAATCTGTGATTTACTTCAGTGATCTGCCTGCATCTGCCACTGGCTCCTAGAAGCCTTTCTATAGGGCATTATTAGTGAGAATCACAGGTCAACACAGCACACACCTAGCAACATGCAGGAATTTTGTGCTCCAGACAAAGGTCTGTAGTCACAAAATTATTGTTTGTCTTGAAGTTTCATCTCACTCTAAAGCTAATGATTTGTGGGACCCACATACTTGAGTTTTGTAGAAAATGAAAACCTGTAGGATAATAGAGGTATTGGAAAATTTGCATCATTTGAAGATAGGTATGGAGAATCATTTATACACCAAACAAAGCAGCAACAAGTAACCGCTGGAACTGATCTCTGCTGTATTTGTTTAATCAGAATGACAGTGTGGTTGATTCAAGGAGAAAATCAAACTGCAAAACACTGCCTCTACTTGAAAGTCTTTTGTTTATTGAGAGTGTAGTTCTTTAAGTTTACTATGTCGAAAGCTAAATTCTGTGCCAAAATTGCGGTATGAAAATTGGCATCAGTGCTTTAATCTGTGAGTCACAGAAACCCATTTACAAGCTATAAAGTATTTTTATTCCATATTTGTTTAATTCAAAGCTTCTCTATCTCTGTTGTGGATGATTTATGCACCAGTAATGAACTGGATACACTCATGTTTTGCTTTATTTTCCTCCAAATCAATTAGCTGTTGCTGATGAAAGAAGACTGTACTTGGAGTAAATCAACTAAGATTGAAGTGTAGACTTAAGGAAGAAATGACAGGCTCCATATTTTATAAACTTCATTGCAAAGTGAAGCTGACATTCATTTTCAGTCTATGTGGTTTGTGCTTTGCTTTAGTGAGTTTAGCTTTAACATTTCCAATCAAAAGAACTTAATACAGATCATCTGAATAAAACAAACAAGTTGCTTTATTTTGAGAGTAGTGAAAGATAACTCATGTTCATTCTTCTCTGTCGTCCTATATTTGTGCTAATATCATCCAGGTTAACCCACAAGACAATGTCATTAATCATTGCTATATAAATACTCATTTAATTTAGTTACTACCTGCATTGAGGGGTTATGAATGAGGGTAAAACAGTTTTAAATGAACCTTCTAGGCCAACCAGTTCTCACTGCTCTGTGGTAAGGGACGTTTCAAATGACTTTTCAAATTCTCTTCTTTCCCTTCATTCAGTTAGAAAAGTATCATTTCAAATATGTTCACACTTAAATGTTGACATAGTATATACTGTAGCAAATATAAGTATACATGGACACATTTTATGTCCATAATTATTCTGCAAAATATTTTGGCTCTTGTCCTGGTGTTGATAGCCAATGCATTTGAACACCATCTACAATTTAGACAGCAGGCCAAAAATCTCTGCTAGTTTATCTTGTAGAGAAATCAAATTCCTCCCCCCACTCAATGAAAGATAGCCATTTACAATATATGCATTTTTGGGTAATTAAATGAATTACTGAAGAGGAAATGGATTCTAATCAGCTTTCAAACTGTGATTGTGCTATGCACTGAATCATTCTTTTATGAATATTTTTCTTCTGGAGCATGTGTAATTATGAAACCTCTTTTTCTGTCTTGGTAGGAACTGGGAAGTAACAGCCCTCCACAGAGAAACTGGAAGGGAATTGCAATTGCCCTGCTGGTGATTTTAGTTGTGTGCTCGCTCATCACTATGTCAGTCATCCTCTTAACCCCAGGTAATCTCTCTTTAATTCTTCTCTTCTCATGGTATTGTGGATGATAATTTTACATTCAAATGCCTTAAGAGGGTAGCAGTGTGTGGTATTTTAGGACACATTAGCATTGGTTGGACTTTTTATAAAGCATAATCAGAAATTTTGCAAATGGCACAGTAATTTCGTAATTGAGATATTATACACATATTTTAGGGAGATGTGGAAAGGGTAAAGTAAATAAATTGAGCATGCCAACTGGATAGTTGATTGTTATTGCTACATTTATTTATTGTTTGTCAGTTTTATATGTTCATGAGACATGTGTATTCTATTGAGGGTTGAAGACCATGGGTGGAGTCTAAAAGTGGCCTGATATGGATGTAAAAAGAAATAGAGAGGACCCAAATGAAAATAATAGCCAGAAGAAAGGATAGTGATCTCAACTTCTCCAGCTAGACTCCTCTTTCTTCTGTTCACTTTTCTTTCTTCTTTGCTGAAGATTTGACATTGTGAATCTTTTTCCTGTGGCTAAAGAATTCCTTCAGATTGCTCTTGCAATAATCCTTGAACTTCATTCTTTAAAGAGCTTAACATTAATATAGAAATTATTGCTAGACTTAGTTCTCCCATGAGTACTATTTCTATACTCAGGACTTGCAGTATCCTTGGTAGGGCTGAATAACAAAGGCAGAGAAAAAGGATTCATGGTTTAAATTCCAAAACCAAAGCCTATCTTGCAGAGTAGATAAATATGGGATGCTGCTACAGTGCTCCCAGCTGTCTTCCTCAAAGTCTGGCTATCTATATCCCTCAGTGTTATGAAAATCATCACTTATGTTGGGAATAGGATTGTGCTACTCCAAAATCAACTGACATTCTAAAGTTGGAGCCTGGTATTAAGTGCTTATTATTTATTAATTTCCTTAGGTACAGTTTCAGTGTTATTCCTTAAGCCCTACAAGCAAGTTAGACTTATTTCACCATGAGCAAAATGTCATTAATCAGAGTTTGTTTTCAGAGTCATTTACTCAAATAAATATAGGGACTAATTATACAAATGGCAGCTGTCACTTATTTACTCATGACTTTTGTTAATTTTTGAAAATATTTGATCAATAAAAATATTGGCTTCAAAATATACAAACTACCAAAAATACAGCTTGTAGGTTTTTTATTTAATGTATGAAGAGCCTGAGGATGAAATTAAGGAATGGAGGAATTGAGTAGAGGACAGAGAGGTAATTGAAGAAACAGAGAACTGGTTTATTCTGCAATCTTTTCAGGAAATTTCTCCTAACTGACTCATTTTTCCATCTGTGGAATAATATAATTGAGCAGCAGGATGCCTCTAATAAGTTACTGCAGAATGCCAAGAAGCTTTGTTACAGGAAGATGAGCTTATGTTCAGATGGCACTTGGCTTAAATATATGAATTTTTACATAATTATAAAAAATGAATGACTTGGTGTTGTTGCTTTGAGTTGTTGGCTATTAACCAGATGAAAAACACTGGTGGCATAATGTCTGTGTATTTTTTAGCTCCTTTCTTTAAACCTTATTCTAGTATCCTTGTTTCAGAAATTAACTTTCATATTTTCTTCTTACTCTCTTAGTAATATGTTGGGATCCTTAAGTGTTTGGCATGGCCAGAAATTGGTGGTGAATGCTTCTATACTTTGCAACTTAAGAGACTGAGATCTTGAGGACCACAGTTTAAAGCCAGCTTGGACAAAATATTTATAGGACTCCATATCAAATTAACTTTCCAAAAGCCAGACTAAAGCATGTCTCAGTAGCAAAGTATCATCTGTGAGCAACCATGAGAACCCTGGATTCAGCTCTAGTAATGAGAAATAAAAATTTTTTAAAATGTGAAAAAATATATCCTATAATTCGAACTACTGAGAATTTCCAATTTCCAGCAGTATAAAATTATAATATAGTAATACTTTTTTGTAATGCTGTTATTTTTGGGAAATGGGTTTGCAATAAAAACACACTATTGTTTGAGGTTTGGCTCTTTACTAATTTTGTGAAGGTATTTAATCTTGCTTTTCAAATAACTCATCTGTTGTACTGGTATTTATGCTTTATGAGGGTGAAATGAGATAATATTATTTAATGATATTGCTCTTTCTACTATTCAGTACATAAAGACCACCTGAAACCATGCCAAACATTGTTATATGAAAGATATTTTCCAGAAATATGTACATTTCTTAAATATGTAGATCTCCTTTGACATCAATGTGAAACTATGATTAAAATGGAGGGAATATATACTTAATCTGTAGGTATCCTTGTAGTGATATAATTGCTCATTTTTTATTTATTCATTTACTCAATAGATAAATGCGCAGATCTTACTAAATCCTGTGTGGTGTTGTATGGTTATTGGCTTGCACTTCTGCTGTTTATATCTTTCACTTACAGCCTTTTCCTTCCAAATTATGCACACAAATCTGGAAAACCTATATACCACCAACCCAAAGACTTAATTTCCTAAGGTATTAATTATATAAATGGGAATAGTGGATTAACAGTTTACAGATTTCATGTATCAAAATGTCTCTGGATTACACTATTATCTTTGGTAGATATGATGAAATATAAAATGAAATCATTTCCTCACCATCTGTTTGTTTATAAATTCTGTACTACCAGAGGCCTGGAACATTATGTAAATTGATGATATGAGGAGGTGTAATAACAGTGATTAGGAATTTGCTTGAGTTGTGACCCAGTGATAATGCTACACTAGTTATATGGCCATAATATTGGGCCTATACCAAACATATCTAAATCACATAGAAGACCAGACAATCAACAAATGGGAGTTCAAGAGTTGAGTTATAGACTGAAAGAACTCAGAATTTATCTGTTTTTATATCAGCCTTGAAGAAGAGAAAAATCTTAGTATATTCAACTTTTGGTTTTGAGGACATGAGTGGGTATCAAGATCATTACTACACACTTTCAATTAAGTGTGTGTGTATGTGTGTGTGTGTGTGTGTGTGTGTGGTCATGTAGGCTTGTAATTTGACCTAGTACACTAATTACACCAGACTTTCTTTTCCAACCCTGAAACTTGTGGTTCCACAGCTATGCCAAATTATACTTACAAGGAAAATCACCAGCTGAAAGGAAATGTAGCTCTTCCTTCTGCTTTTTTTTTTTGGGGGGGGGGGGGTCCGGTCGTGGGCCTGAACTCTGGGCCTGGGCGCTGTCCCTTAGCTCTTCAGCTCAAGGCTAGTGCTCTACCACTTGAGCCACAGTGCCACTTCTGGCTTTTTTCGTTTTGCTTACGTGGTGCTGAGGAATCGAACCCAGGGCCTCAGGCATGCAAGGCAAGCGCTCCACCACTGAGCCACCTTCCCAGCCCCACAGTCATTCTTTTCTAAAAGTAAAAGTGAGCACCCTTCCTTGAACTCAACAACCAAAAAAATAAAGGTAGGGTTAATCAATGCATCTAAGTTAACTTGTCCTTTACTAACTATGGAGTAGACCATTTATTTCTTTCAGAAATTAGTTGCTTTTTAAATAAAATGCTTTAATAGTTAACTGACTCTTCAAAAATAATCAAGACTTTGAAGGCAAAGAAGATGCTTACACTCACGGAAAGTAAGGCACCTGTGTCAAATTACTCAGGTAATAAAATTTGCAATCAAACCAAAATTACAATGAACATGTGTTTCTATGCTTAAAGCTTGCATTTCTTAGCAGTTACCTACATGCTGTGAGGCTATTTTGAGTAAAACAGTTTCTAAATAATTTTTCAGACTAGGTGATGTTTTGCATGTTTTTAATCTTCCCCTCAAAGCCAACACACACACAAACATGCACATACATATATACATACATATGTATCTATTTATATGTAAATGTGTGTATAAATGCATGTATATTATGCATACAATATACATACGTATATATATATACATATATGATTTTTCAAAGTAGAATAGATTTGATGAAGCAGCACAATGACTTTAATTTTTCTTTGAGTCAGCGTCCTTAACAAAATAATTGAATATACAGTTTGGATCTGGAATGTCTCTCAAAGGCTTAGTCCCGAATTTGGCCCCTCAGGTAAGTGGCAGAACTTTTAAGACTCAAGGACTAGTGGGAGGTTTTAGGGCACAATAAAGGGACTTTTGAGGTCATGACCTTTTCCTCTTGTACGTCCTAGCCATGGGCCATTAGGTGGTTCTGTTACTAGACTCCCACACTCTCCCCATAGTGTACTGTTACAAGCCTGTAAACAATGGGTCCACCTGACCATAGACTGGAAACTTCTAAATTGTAAACTAAAACAACCTTTTTTTCTTTTTACAATCCATTAACTTAGTATTTATTTATTTAATTAATTTTTAATAAGTTTTTATTGTGAAAATACTATACAGAGAGGTTACAGTTACATGAGCAAGGTAATAAGTACATTTCTTATCAAGCATTGTTGGCAGTATCAGAAAACTAACAACAGGCTTGATTTCAAAATGGGTATGTGATTTGTTTAATATATACAGTTATAAAAGTTTTATGAATGACTTATCTTACCTCCTATTGGAAAAGTTTTCCTAGAGTAAGCCCTTTGACCTAATGGTCTAATAGCTTCCTGAATAATTTCACCATCATTTTCCCTCTTCCTCTAAAGCCTCTATAAGCTTGGGTGCTTTACCTTCTATAGCTGGGCCTTGGAGGTCACATGTGGTGGTGGGGGGGCAGGTATACAAAATAGAAGGATGGGCCTGGGATGGTGGCTCAGTGGTAGAGTGCTTGCCTTGCATGCCTGAGGCCCTGTGTTCGATTCCTCAGCACCACATAAACAGAAAAAAACAGCTGGAAGTGGCGCTGTGGCTCAAGTGGTAGAGCACTTGCCTTGAGCTGAAGAGCTGAGGGACAGTGCCCAGGCCCAGAGTTCAGACTCCACGACCGGACCCCCCCTCCTAAAAAAAAAAAAAGCAGAAGGAAGAGCTACATTTCCTTTCAGCTGGTGATTTTCCTTGTAAGAGTTCTCCAGC